AGCTGCCGCAGACTGCAGTGATACAAGAGGCCCCCACTTCAACTGACAAGTCTCTCCGATGCTGAAGAGACACATGAAATGAAAAGTCATCTCCCATGTTTCCTTTTCTTCTCAAGTTGGTGTGTGTTATAACCAAAGACTTTTGAAGATACTTCTATAAAAAAGCCCATCCACCCCTAAGACTCGTAAGAGCGCGCGCGAAGCCCACTGCTCGACGCCTACACTTCACTGTACTAAGTAAAGTCGAGGCCAATGGAGGGCGTTTGGTCCAAACACGGAGGTCCGAATGAGCCAGTTCGGTATTTTATAAATGCAAGGCCGGTTGAGAATAAAGCATATATGCAAGTCCACGAAGAGCCGCAATTGATAGGGCAGACCTCGAAGGCGCGTCCGAATGACCTCAAAAGACGTCATCTTCCATCTCCGGCTCTCTGCTAAAAAGAAAACAAAAGACAAGTCGTTCGCCACATTAAATTCTCAGCCCAAATCGAAGCTCACATGGTTGAACGCAGTTTTCCCTGAAAGTTCTTGAAAACCATTCACTAAGCAGGGCATTACCTACTCGTGATTTGGCGTACGAGTCACATTCTGATGGATGATTATGGACAGGCAGTGGATGGTGGTCTCAAAGCAATCAAACTCTTATTCCCGAAGAGTGAAAATTAAGTCACTCCATATGACTGCAATTTGGGACAGGACGACGACGAGTCATACCGTCGAGTCAGCGTGCCCATAAACCCTATTCAGAGCGGGCTAACCCATGCGTGAAGTTCGTATGGCTGTTTTGCATCAGAGCCATTTTGCCATCTTATCCACTCTTAATGCTCTCATCATTTTCTCAGATGTCCATTTTCTCGCCCTGCAAAGCCTCTAATCAACCAATAGATTGAGTTTTCACGCGATGATTTCTCCATCAAACTCGGACAACCTCACATTCGAGCGATTTTCTCTTATGGGCTGGTGTCAGGTTTCAGTAAGTGGGGGACTAAAGTCTCTCTCCTTGGATATACAAAGGGTACTTCTTGCACGGCATACTTTAACACCATGGTCGTTGATGTACCAGAGAAGTAACTAAAGTAAATAGGTTTCTATCTGAAAAACTGAATGCACTTATTACCAAAAAGGTATTCCATAAAATCGGTAAGCATAATTTTGGAAGTAAGCCTATCGTTTATCGCATAAATCCAACGATGTCCTAGACTTGAATGTAACGACATACAAAAAGTGAACATAAAAGGAGTCCATTAACAAACCATCTTGCCCCGCACCATCACCACTTCCTTTCAGAAAACAATAGAAAAATGTAAACGGAAACAAACTTTAAATCAGCCAACATCAAGAAATACCACTCCACCTAGCCTGAGCTTATTAATATCTATTGAAATTACTAAACTTCCATTTGCGAGGCTGCGAACGTCGTTACACTTCAGGTGCATTTTGATGGATGGAGCATTTTCTTTTTTGCTCGTTATAATCCTAGTGGGAAGACTGATGTATGGTGAAAAGAAATCCAGGCCTTTATTCGTTTGTGATCATGCTCATCATATTGACCAAGTGTGTCATGTTGTGCCCGGTACTGCCATTAGCAGTGTTGGAACGAGTCGATAAATTTGGTGACTCGAGTCATTTCAACATGGTGACTCGAGTCGAGTAGAGTCATTAGGTCAAGACGAGTCGAGTCACTTCGTGCAGGCGAGTCCAGTCCAATTTAGTCAAATACCTAGCTCGAGTCAATTTGAGTCACAATTTTTGAACAAATAATTATAATAAAAACAAAGCTACATGTAAGTCAATTTTTGGTATTTTTATTTTCATTTTAGACACCCTGAAAATAAATTAGAGTGATAGGTATGGAGCCAACTAAAATTTTGCTTTCACTTTTTTGAGACTCAAGTCTTATAAACTTGTACTCGAGTTGAGTCCACAAGGATTGTGACTCGAGTCGGACTCGAGTCGAGTCATGGATTCGAGTCATTACAACTCTGTTATTAAGGCTGCTGGAATAATGGCTGAAATACAAATTAACATTTCTTTGCTCAAAAAATAAATGTCAGAAACAACCACTTTTTCCCTTTTCTCTGATGGGATTTACTGCCGCAATCAAAACGTTTAGTTAACTTCATTACACGCGAGGTCCCTTTGGTGCTGAAACCCCTATTATTTTCCACTAACAAACAAACAAACAAGTCCTGAAATGGTTCTAAGTAGTAATGTTACAGATGGGATCGTTCAAATTGACTGAGATAAAATTGCCTAAATTGTTCAAATGCAACTGAGGTTGTTTACGCCCCCCAAAGAACTCATTGCACAATTCATTAAACAACCATTGCCTTCTATTTCACAAAGTGTAGACCAATGAAGAAATTATAAAGGAGTAAAAAGCCCAAACAGTTGTGTAAACACGAAGGAATTTGAATTCAGCGAATTCGGATCCTTAACAGCGAGACTGTTTGCGCATCCGCTGTACAGAATAAAACACAGACTAGTGTTACGTAATTTCTATTTAGGTAGAAAACATTGCATGCTTCAAGTTGATATCAAATCAGTTTATTTTTGGGGAGAAAATGAATGTTACGTTTAGGTTACTTGTTTTGGAGGACACGCTGTGTGGTGGCTCGCAGGTTACATTCTAACATTAAAGTCAAGGATCATGAGCTTCGTCAAGACTATGAACGTAACTCTTTGGGGGATAAGGCAGAAGCACCTAGCAGTGGCAGACTGTTAATCAGGGATATAAAGAGGTCAATTTCAAAGTATTTCCAAGAAAACCTGCGACTTTCTATCAGTCCTTCCCCTTTAAAATGTTTTCCTTTTTGTTGAAGATGCCAATGAGAGTGATTTCAATACATGGAGTCAAGTATTAAACTCAAAACTCTACGCTCTCTGCAGATACGCTGCCAACAGACCACAGAGAATCATGTCAGTCATCGACACTTTTATTTTTCGAATTCAGGCTCCCTCTCCTGAAAACTGCAGGCCCCAGATTATGCAGACTGCGGGCAAATACTGGTCCAGTATCTGCTCGGGGTGTTACAATAGGCCAAGTTGAATTGAATAGCTTGTTGACCCATGCTTCGAAAAAAGGGACAGGTGGCAAATTTTTCCAAGATGGCAGAAAACCTTCCTCGACCCTTCTGCTGCTATTCTTATGCCCTTTGACGAGTTTTCTCCCCATCTAACAGGTTCTTAACTTACATTTATGAAAAATGATATTTTGTAAAAATATAAGTAAAATGGGGAACGTATGGTACTTTTAACTTAACCGCCTCACACCTTAAAAATAAAATAAAAATTAAAGAAAGAGGCGGGCGCAAAGGAGAAACTCTATTTATTCCTATAGGCCTTACAATGGATCCTCGTTTTGATCGAATATGAGTCCCATGAATGATTCTGGAATCGGACAGGAGGCCAGTGCAGGTGATGAAAACTAAAGCAGACGGCACTAGGCCACAGTCACACGTAAATAATAGATACCGTGCACGATATGGGGCCGATGGGTTCCCCCACACTCACACATGTCCAATCCCTATACACACTCTAGAATATTGTTGCCTAACACACACCACCAGACGTCTGTAAAGAATTCCTGAGATGCCGATCAAACAATGACCAACACAGGGGGGGGTTCTCTCCGCCCCATATCTTGCATCATATAAAATGCTAAATGTACACTGCAACCAGGAATTGCACTGCACCCTTACAGGTGTACACCGTACCGATACTGGAAAAACTGGTTGTCCCATGGGTCACTCGGCTGTCACCATGAGAGTGTCAGTGCCTCCACGCAACCATAGCATTGTTCATACAATTGGCTGCATTCTATTGTCACGTTGTTCACTCTGTCTGGAATATGCCTCAAAAAAGGGTAATTCCTGTTCATGGTGCAGAACTGCACTTGTCTTGTTTCCAGGTGAAAGGATTCCAACAATTTGATGAGCGCCCCATCCGTTAGCCGTCACGGCGTCGTGACCAAAACGAGAACAAAACCCGTTTCCAAAATTTGCAGATTTCATCCAAATATTTTGAACCAATTTTTTTGATCTGTGGGTACTGTCGTCAGTACTCGCGACTTTTGGTTGCGTATAAATATTGCTATTCTATTTGCAGATTCCCCAACAAAAGTCGCAATTAAAATAAAAATAACGGTTCTTCAAGTTTTCTCTGTGAATTTCTTTGCTGTCTGATCTCCCTTTTGCACAACTTTGATTAATTCTGACTGACAATAACCAACATGCGAATACTGCATCTACATACACTCGGGGCATTCTGGACACCAGGCCATACTTTGTTGTTGCCATCAGCGGCTACCTGCCGTCACCTTACGTAAAGGCATAGAACCAACCCAAACTGCACGCATAATGCGCATGCGTGCTGTTGTCTGCATCAGACTGGCCATGAGCACCAATCACGGGCAATTTGACATCACACCCTTTTAAATATTTGACATGATTTGTATTGCTATATTTTTCCGCACTGCTGAGAAGCCATTACTGCCGGTTATGCACTATCTGACCTATACCTCAATTATTTAAGATCGCAGCCTAAAATACAATGACAATACTAATGATAATAATTATAAGATTTCCCGCTGAATGAACCAGTCAGGGGTTTTCTGCATTACACAAACCTCGTGTAAAGGTCAAAATAAAGTGAAAACAAGACACTCATTTACAATCAGACAACATATGCACCACCTGTAGCGACCAAAAGACCCCATCAACAGAATTGATGTCAAGGTTGAGTAACAATCATGAATCAATCATCCCGAATTCCCGGACGGAGGCCAGTACTGGTCCTGACCTAGTGTGACCACGGTAACAGAGAGTTTGTGCTCACATCCCACACTATATCAGAGTGTAATGTGCATTCCTACGCACCCGTCTGGGACGAGTCCCTCCTGCACAACAACACAGACTGTGGCACAACAACACAGACTGTGTCTGCCGAGTGAAGTCCCTACTCACATGGAACAACCACTGCGATGTTTTTGTTTAACTTACCTGCATAAACCAATGCAAATCAAGCTTCAAATGCCAATCAGTGAGAATTACGCAACGGAAATGGAGAGGTGATATCGAGGACGTGGCTGAAAGTTATCCCAGGGGCTTGTGATGGAGCACACGGGGAGAACTTCCCGACCTGTGAAGCTGATGAAACTCGCAAGACGTATCTTGATAGAGGAACGCCGAGAAAACTGGGAAGTGGCTGAGGGGCGAGTAGAGCCAACAGCGCCTTCACGCACCGGTTATACCCAGGTATCTTGGTGAAGTCCGGGAAACAAGAATAACGTTTCCGTGCTGGGTCTATGACACGATCAGAACTGCTCTGTGAAACTGTGCGACTATCAGGGAAACGGCTAGCCTTGTGTTCGTTTTCATAAAGGTATGCATTCCGTGTAAATCAGGTGCCTAGAGAACGTCTGAGCGCCACCAACAGCATCTGAAGTGGTTTTCACAGAAATGCCTGTGTGTTTGAATGCATTCTGGGAAATCTCTTGATACAATCAGGACAGGTATTCGACTCAGACAGCGACGAGTTGGTGGATAGTCTCTCGCATTTAACACCACCGTCTTTCTCGGAACTGCAAACCTGCCAGTTTGCCCACGTTCAGCGTTGCCCGTGGGGATTCCACCTCTGTGCCTGGGTGTTGGGGGTGATGTAGCACGCCCGTACTGGAGAACATAATGGAGCACAAACAGAGTGGTGCCAATGGGTCCCCCTTGCTGATTTTATCACCGCGACGACTGTGCCAACGTGGTTGCTCCAGCGACAGACGGCCGTCTACCGCCAACAGGCTACACACCGCCACGGCATTTTGAAGTCGAAATTGCAACGCTGCGCTGTCCAGCCCGCTGACGAAAAACTCCTCTGTGTGGAGACGATGCAAACGTTCACGCTGTCAGTAACAACAATGCACTAAATATGGGGAGGGGGGTGTTTCTGAACGAATACTATTTGCGTTCAAAAGGTGTCACACAGCGCGTGCATGGGGTCACGTGCCGTCTGTGATAATGGTAGTCTGAGACTACGATTGAGGCGCGTCGGTTAAAGACAAAATGTTTAACATGCAGGCGGCAGTTTCCCGTACCGGTGCTAAGACCACGCAGTCTTAGGTGTCTTGAGTTCCTCTTTTTTAAATACAAATGGAACTGTACCGACACCGGCCTATTCAGAGAGTCTCGGAACTAGGCGGTATTAGCCTACTTGTTCAGCATGCGAGGCGGACAGCACTACAACACACTGAAATTTAACCTGGCATGACGGTACATGTGAACATTCTCAAAAATCAAATCGCGTCTCGTCACATAGACACTGGATGGAAAGTGGACACCGCACTTCACGCACGGCCAACTTCAGCACTCAGAATAAAAACCGAATTCCAACCAAGTCGATATTCATTACCGAGACAGACGTGATGATCGACCCTGCGCTGGGAGGATGTGCACACCGCAGTTCACCCACCTAAACTGAATTATGCCGAATCGATGCTCATTACCCGGACGTATGTACGAATCGATTCTTTACCGGGAAACTGGACCCTCGGCCGCCATTTAGCTCGCTTTTAAAACGGCCCGTACCATGCGCGTGAAATCTGGCATGCGAGCCACGCATCTCGGTTTCTTTTACCAATGAAATATTATCGCCGTTGGTAAACTGTGAGAGTAACAAATGAACAAAACAGCAATATCATTTTGACAGAAGGTTTCATTCAATCGTACTTGAAAAGAACCATTTCATAGACTCAAACCTCTTTCTTTAAATATGAAGATAATGTGATTCTGAAGATTCTAAACAAGTGCCCTACAGCTAAAGTACTCTTGGACCTTTCCAAGCTGCATTCTCATTCCGCCATCTTTGCTGCGCATTATCTGCAAGGGTACTTGAAGAATCAAACCTTTGGGAACCGATTTTGTTTGTTTGACCCCAAGGGTGGCAAAAAATGAAACATTTCTTTATGTAACTTTTTTAGGGCTTTTCTGAGAGATGAGGTCACATTTAATGTCTGTTTACGTGCTTTTCGAAGGAAGGGAAGTAAAAGCCTACAAAAACGTCTTACTCTCATTATTTTGTTTCATATCAAAATAGCTGGCGGTGGCTGAGCTTTCATTGCATTAGACTGGAGACCTTGCCTCACACAGACACAGGTACAAATTCGCTTGTCACAATCGCCTTTTACAGGGTGCTGGGCCTTATCCCTATCACATAGTTTTGAAAGGATTGCAAACAACCCATTACCACATATCTCATTGCCCTGTAAGGGCGGTGGGAATGGATATAGTCTTGAACAGCGCAACGTCTGCGGAGATCCTACAGTCGAAAGTGTTGGCTGTCCGCAGTGACGATTCTATTGTATTTTCGTTCCACCAGCCTCCAAGCCCACGTATGGCGTGCAAAAACGACATTTAATATGAAGTAGAGATATCTCCATTATTAATAAAGAAAAAGAGATACAAACATCTCTATTTCACGATTAAATGTTACTCGCGCACGTTCACGAGGAACGCTGCGCTTTATTATCATGCGCATGCGGGCTTCGTCGGACTCCGAGGACAAAGATGCCCTTGGTCGGCACGCAGACGTTAAAAAAAACCTGCCGCGGTGATATCCGAGCCAGTGCCGCTTGAAATAGTCAGCCAAATTAATCGCCCTAAGGCTGACGGATAGCGTTACAGCGATGATTTTTAGCTGTCATTTTCTATCTCAAACGAGTCAGAAAATTATGGAACGTTTCGCACACTAGGTAATCTAGGGGATACAAAGAGCCGGTTAACGGGTAGCCTATGCAACTCAAAGATAATAACTATAAATAAACATTGCAAAGTTGGGGGGGTATTACAAAACAATTGTCATATTATCGCAGGCTTCTATTTCCAAAGAGTGGATCTATGGACCTGACGACGGAAACGAAATTTATCCTGCGGAAGAAATTGACTTTCCGCCGAAGTGGTTTTTTTAATCATTTTCAATTTCTCCAATTCCAAGTGGAAAGGACTTTGCTCTCAAAATCTCTTGGGTTTCAACCGCATTCATTTGATTTTACTTAAGGGAGAGGGGGGCGAACGAGGACTCAAGAATGAAATCACGTCAAGTCGCTCTACGCAAAAACACGGAACGCAAACAATTTTGGATAAGAGAAAAGGGCAGACATGTCATTTCAAGCAATTGCTGCAAAATTATGCGCTTGGCGTTTTTTCCTCATTTTAGCCAAATCTTCCCAGGTTGCAAATTGGAGCGGTTGTCAGTGGTCTCTAGCAAAGGACCTCGAGTCACCCAAATCGCAGGGACTCTCTGTGATATTGTTTTGACGCCATGTCCGTTAGAAATCCCGCATTCCTGATCGGGCCTCGCTGCCAACCCTGTGCGACGCGCGTGACGCCTCCACCGTATCTCGCCTTACCTCAACACCCTGTGTTTTATACGCACACAATCACTGCATACAATCACCGCCCTTAGATCGTGCGGCATTTGCATAATACCGTGCGTGCGGGAGGGTGATTCATACGGCAACGTACATGTATATTTGCCATATCCCAACCGGGGAGATATCAGGTAGCAGGAGTACATTTCACGAGGGGGATATTCTATCGGCCGACCAGTCAGGATGCGATAAACATTCTCTGCCAATAGGGATCCTTGATCATACAAACCCTTTTTTTTCATGAACGGCACACAGGTTGCACAATGTTAAAGTAACATCAGAGAACAATGATTTCGAGGAAAAACGCATTCGTTATAAGCAGCCACCATCTGAACTGCATACCCGGGCTATTACATGCAACATCGCTCGCAGACTCTCTACCCTCATCCGGCCTTGAGCACGTCGCAAGGTATCTTCTTTTTTTACAGGCAGAAAGTACAGTATTCAGCGGCTGTCTCGTTCTGATAACAACTTTCAACTGTATAAGGCCCAAAACAAGTCTCCTGTTTCTGGTCAGCATGCGCGTCGCCGAGACCAGTGCGTCGGTAAAATACTTTTTTTTAAAAATAAATTTGTATATATTCCAAATCTGCTTCATCGACTGGAATCCTGCTACTGCGAAATTTTAACGTGTTTTAGAGGGGTACAGTTGAGTAATGTGTACAGTGAAGAAGTCCCTCTAGGCCCCCATACATTTAGGCAGTGTCCGAAACGGACTTCCAGCGCTTCAGCTAGGTCTACTGTCTGCGCGTCTCCACATACTTTCAATGGAGTGAAGACCTAGACCTAGCTCTAGACACCGGATTCGGAAGCAGCCTTAGTCAGGCACTCTTTTTCTGATGACGTCATTTGTGTATTATACATTGATTTACATCTAGGAACCAAACAAACGAGGGGTCTTATATCCTGTGTATATCTATAAGCTGAAAACGTAAAACAGAAATATAGTGAGGGGGTCAGCCTATTTCAGCAGCAAGGCCATTTTGTTCCGAAGCACATGTGCGAGTACATCATTCCTAGGAAACAAAAGGGAAGGGGAAAAACGCGTTGCCGCACCACTTTTGGAGACAATTCCTGACCAGAAACTGGAGATTTTTTTATGGCCTTACGAAATATTTAAAACCTAAACCTAGTTCGCTCAATATATTATCGCCATACTCACTGTACGAATCCAGGACCACGTGCCTTTCAACCAGCATCAACCGACTGTCAACTGGAGTATCGCGTCTGAAATAATGCGCGCGCACGCACACGTGCTTTAGTTTGGTTACATATCTAAATGTTTTGTCTACCAACTTGCATGTAGGAGTCTACGATGCCTGAGCATGTCGGGTGATTAATTATGCATGGAACAGCCTCTTGACCTTGGGATAATGAGAAGCCATGCATTGAGGGGCCTGGACAAACTTGAAAAATTGGGCATCCTTATCTTGATATCTGGTCCATACCATAATGTTGGACTTGAGTCGGTTTTATTTATGTTCGAACTTATACAGATACATTTTTCCCATAGAGGTCACCAACTTGATTCTTTAAACGTGATCAGCTGATACGGTAAGCTGACCGAGTATGGTTAGCTAATACCAAGCATCAATCGAAAGGCTTTTGGTAGATTTCTTCTCAGAATGATTTTACATTGTTTGGAGTCGAGGTTCATTAGCTGGCACTCAAGGTCACACAAAACTTGCATCATGCTTGCACAATAGATGTTGTTTAGGGTAGCTAGCTGCAGACTCCGTTGAAATAAAGGATGACACGCAGACTAAGTTATGCTGCGCGCGCTGAGAGATATACGGTGGAAACATTTTTATCAAGGGAAACCACGGATATGTAAAATCCAGTTCGGATGAGAGGCACGTTCCCGGAAAGTTTAGTGACTGCCGTCACACAACAAAAGTTTGGAATACGCCCTCGGATATGATTTGCAGTCCAACAGTCGACCATGAAAGATTTATTACGGAATTTCCATGAGAAAATCA